TCAAAAAGCGTTTGATACCGTAAATACTAAAATTCTCTTGAAGAAGTTGGAGGGTATGGGAATTAGAGGAGTAGCACACAATCTTATGGAATCTTATGTCACAAATCGGAAGCAGTATATAGTGGTCAATCAACAAGAGAGTGGAGTGGTCATCTCAAACAGTGGAGTTCCACAAGGCTCGGTCCTGGGACCCTTACTGTACCTCTTGTATGTGCACAGTCTCTCAAAGGCAAACCTAAACTGTAAATATATAACATTTGCTGATGATACAGTGTTACTTTTCAAAGATTCAAATATCAAAGACCTGCAGCAAACCGTTAATCACTCCCTGTCTACCTACTATAAATGGCTTCTCAAAAACAACTTGAAGATTAACGTTAACAAAACAGTGTTTATGACTTTCAAACATAAAAACAAATTGATATCCAATCCTATAGACATAAAAATCAATGACACATCATTGAAAATGGTTAACTCCTACAAATACTTGGGGCTGACAATTGACAAAGAGTTAACATTTAAACTAAATGTCAACTTATTAAGAAAAAAACTCGCTGGTGCATGTGGTGTGATTAAAAAATGTGTCAACTTTCTACCTAACTGCATGAAGTCTGTAATATACGAAACAATATTTAAATCTGCACATCTGCAATACATGTGTACTGTATGGGCTGCAGCTTCAAAGACACTACTTCAAAAACTGCAAAGGTTGCAAAATAGATTCATTAAATATCTCAATCATCTACCAAGACTCCACCCTACTTTTCAAATCTATAGAGAGAATAAGATGTTGAAAGTTGAATAAATCGTGCACCTTGAAGAATCCAAACTTATGCAAAAAATTATACACAAGCAAGTCAAGACGAATACCAAACCTATAAGAAATACTGACATTCATGGATATTGCACCAGAAAACGTGGCAACCTGCACATAACATCATCCAGAACTAACATTGGAAGAAACAGTGTTGTTAACAGAGCAATGATGACATACAACAATATTCCAGAAAACATACGGAGAATAATTTCTCCCTTTGGGTTTAAAAAAAAACTTAAAAAATTGTTTGTGATGCAGAACTGTCTGTGAATCCAGAATTTTCTAGTTCCTATTTGCTGATGCACCTAATTTATGAATAATTTATGAATATTTATTTAATTTATCCAAATTTCTTTAACTATTACTATAGCTATATTTAAGTAAATAACCTCAAATATTGAAGAAATTCTGTTACATAAAAGCTAGGACTCGGTACCCAGTCATGTACATGTACTGTTTTGAGTTCATAAATAAAGTTTATAAAAAAAAAAAAATATATTAGGGCAGATGTTCAAAAAGAAGTTGTTCACTGTGTTTAGGAACTGCACCTTGTCTAACTGTTCAGTGTTGTCGAAAACTGTATTACGTTTTCCATGTTCTTCCGTTATTTTTTTAACTACTTTCCATGTTGCTTCAGATCACTTAATCCTATTTATTTTTATACAGGGTGTCCCAGCCGAAAGTGAACCATTTTAAATGGTTATAACTTTTAAATTAGGTGTGCTAGCTACCTGCGGTTTGCGCCATTCGATTTCTTTTGGTCTAAAGTTTTTTCTAGTAGGTTTGAAATTTTTTAAAAACTTATACAGGGCAAGTGAAAAAAAATCAGTTTTTCAACATCAAAATTCTCCACTATTTTTAATGGAACACCCTGTATATCACAACGTCAAAAAAAAGATTAATATTCAAGGTATCGATGTACCAATAGACATCGTCCCTAAAACTTGAAGTTTTAGAGGTAAAAAATCAAAATCGAAATCTTGGAATTTTTGCAAATGCATGTAACTTCATGTTGTAGGTACTTGATATCATTATGATAAAGAATTTTGTAACTGTCTAGTTAGATATCAATTAAGTTAAAATACAATTTCCAAGAAAATTTAACGCGTTCCAGAGTATTTTCTCTGGAACTCGTCAAATAGAGATACCCCAAAAGTAACAGTTTGGTGTGCAATCTCTATTAAGAAAAAATACAGACCATTTCCATTAATGAACCAATGATAACAGAAATTGTATACACTGATATGTTCTTTTTTCCACAGTTAAGACAGGAGGGTATCTTGGATGATATCTATTTCCAGCAAGATGGTGCCCCCACCTCATTATTCTTTAATAGCAAGGAAATCACTAGATATGACATTTGGGGAAAGACGGATATGGAGGTCCTATAGAATGGACACCTTACTCTCCTGTCTTGAGAGTTCCAGACTTTTTTCTCTGGAGTTATGACAAAGAAAGATGTTGTAATCCTTTGCTCAAATAGCCTGAAAGATCTTGAGCGGAACATTTGTAATGTCATTGAAGCGATTCTCCAGGAAATGTTACACAAGTCATTCACCCATTTACTGATCCATAAATGCCTGAAACAGAATGGCTAACATATACATATACAGCATTTTGTATAGTTTTAGGCAGTTTTTCTTAACTTTTTATTAGGCAAACATAAGTTCCAAGCTTTATAAATATCTATGCGTTTGCAAAATACCAAGATTTCGATTTTGATTTTTCACGGCTAAAAGTTCAAGTTTTAGGGACTATGTTTATTCGTACATTGATACCTTGAATATTATTCTTTTTTTTGACGTTGTGATATACAGGGTGTTCCATTGAAAATAGTGGAGAATTTCAATGTTGAAAAACGGATTTTTTTTTACTTGCCCTGTATAAGTTTCAAAAAAATTTGTTAACCTACTATAAAAAACTTTATAACCATTTAAAATGGTTCACTTTCGGCTGGGACACTCTGTATTCTTGAGAATTTATAAATATATTGTCAATACAGGATCGTTTGTTTTTATTTGGTCTAGTTACCTCAAATATTATCTGTTCATACTTATATGAGGCTAAGAGATCTAGGAGTTTGTCCCTTTTTTGACATTCAGCTTTTTTTCAAAGTTTCAGTTTCCCTTAAAAAATTTATATTAAAATCCCCCCTCCTCATACAACCACAGACCCTTTGTATTTTTCATGCACTTTTCCAACCAAAACCCCAAGTAAATCTTAGAAAATTTTGAAGACCCTCAGACATGACCTATAAATCCAAAAAATTACCATTTTCTTAGTCCTACTGATAGCTGTACATATTTCAAAGTGTAGTCATTGAAAATATCTAGTTCTTCGGAATCATCCACATCTTCTTGGGCATATATCGATATTCCACCTTTCTTCTTGTATTTCCTGGAAAATGTTGCTACCAAGTTATATCCTTCGATCTTGCAGATACTTTCTCCGCCTGGCTGCAACCAGTGCTCGGATATACATACTATCGCTGGTTATTATTTGACGTGTCAAAGAAAGCTTCTAGATTTTCTAGAGCTGTTTTGATGCCCCTTAGATTTTGGTGAAAAATTGTAAGTTCACAGTACTTGTTTTCCTGTGTCCCACTTGCTTCCTATATGGATGTCTTTTCAGTTCTTCCATTCTTATTTTTCCAACTTTGTGTGTTTTTTGTGCCATCCTGTGTCAATGTGTTTTTTGAAGGGAAAAAAATATTGTTCTTCCATTTGCACTGAGTGGTAGGTACCATATGTGTACTATTGCTTTGTTGCATTTGTCCCTGTAGTGGCATATTTTCTAAGTACGGATTTTTGATTTTTATATTCTAATAAATAATTATTTTCGATTGTTTAGGAGTGGATGTTTGCGGTTTTCCTGCTTTAGTGATGGAGCTTTGTGTGATTTCTAGTATAAGTGTTGATCTTCGGAGATTTTCTACTCTTTTCATTTTCACTGACATACATTAATTCATCATGGAGAGAAGTTTCCAGATTTATTCTCACATTTTCATTTTTACTAAATATATGAGTCTCACACAAGTACAGAAAAAACTGCCTGAGATGGTCCTTATTCCATTTGAGATGATCTTTGGTTTAACAATTTGGTTACTGTCAATATACAATGTTTTAGTGTTTATCAGCATTTCTTGGATTTTCATGTTGACTTCCTGTATAAGTTCGATTAGAAATTAACAATTTCCCCTTTTTAACTTGGTCATTGACATCTTGATAAGTGAAATATTCACATAATTACCATTTTCAACATTATGGGTGAAAAACAATGTATGTTTTGAAGTGAAGATAAAGAAAAACTAACCTAAACATGTGTCTGTGGGTATTTATAAGGTGTGTTGTTTTGATACGAACATTTACTTTATTGTCAAGGTGACAAAGTAATTATTACAAATATAAAAATAAAATTCAAACAAATAATATGTTAAAAGGTACCAACAAATTGGAAATAGGCAGTTGAGGTTTTTTTTTCAAAAACAACAAAAATAAATTGAAAAATAATTTCTAGCAATAGATATTGTTGTTTTATTATAAACTACATTACTATAATTAAAAATCGCTTATCACAGCACCTACTACCTATTTTTACAGTTCCACATGACTACAATTTCACCAATTATTATTGCTTAAAAATAATCTAACTAATGATATATCAGTCACTTGCCTGTTTAATCACATCTACATACAATATTTATACAATTATCTTTAATGTTAGATTTGCCATTCAATAGTTTATTATCAAATAAAGTTTATTTTTTTATAGCTTTTTTGTAGATTATTTCCCCAGTGTGCGTTTTTACTACTTGTAATATAGTGCATGGCATGCACAAAATAATTGAAAATAAAATCAATTAAAACAACCAAATGAAATAATATGCTTTTGTTAGTGTATGTTATTTCTCGAACCACAAACTAAAACTACCAGCATGTAATCCTTATTTGTAAAACTAAACACTAATATTTATTTAACATTTTTATTTTCCACAAAAGTTGGTTCCCGTTTAACGCGAGTGCAGTTCAGTTTTTAAAAACAACTTACAATAATATACGTAAGTATTTTTTTTTTTTCTTACCACCTCTTATAGCTGATAAGATAGCATACATTATGATGAACCAACTTTTGTGAGAAATTATCCATAAATAAACGTCGGTTTTAAGGTGTTTGGTGCTTTCAGGTGACGCAAGGTGATGGCGCTACTCCAGTTCTCAGGTTGGCCGAATCTAAGTATACCAAGGGCTCATCGTAAGGTTAAAGCAACAAACAATTTAAACCTAGAAAAGAGAAAAAAATAAACTATGGTGCAATAGGAATATGAAGAAAATAATAAGTTTTTTTTTTTTTAAATTAATTAAGAGATTAGTGCGAATAAGTAAATTGATTTCAAATTTTTTTGTTATTAAGGGGTGGCTCTTTGTTTGATTTATTTAGCAACTTAATTCATATCAAATTTAATAGTTTGTTGCTTCTGAGCCTAAAGATTTAGATAATGCCAATTTGTTCAAAGAGTCACTCGATAACATCCATATGGTGCTCAATTAACACAATTTTCTTGGTATCTTGCAAATTTTTTACATAATACATATTTCCTATATTAATTCAGAGGATGGCCTTATTTTATATACATACACCTTTGTTAGGATACCAAGAAAGTAATGTTATAATAATTTATTTCTCTGTCATCATGGGTTTATTTGGATATGTCCACATATCCAAATAAACTCAATTTTGTGCCTTTATGCTTCTTTTTGTACATTTTATGTAATATAGTTTCAGTGTGGTGCGGGTGAATAATTTCGTAAAACTTGCCTCATTATTGTATAAATTTTTGGCAATCTTTGAACGGGCTTGTGTGTTGAATGTGATAGGAAAAAAAAAAAAAAACGAAAGAATATCCTTTAAATGTTCGATCCAAGAGACTGAAATCCGTTCTTAATTCGATAGTGATGTTTTGGATCGTGGATTGTAAATATCTAGGACTATTTTAATTTAAGGCTGTAATATTTAGGCGGGGGCAATTGTAAGAATTATTATACGTTTTCTTATTTTCTTCGCTTATGGTATTTTTTGCCATTAACAAAATACGTTATTTATAATGTATAACCAAAAACTAGGGGATTATAGGCTATATGTAATAAGATAAGAAATAAAGGGTTTTATTTAAAACTTGGCAAAGTATAATGAAATAGTGATATTTTTATTCAATGAATTATTGAATTCACCTCAACATAGTTCTCATAATAAGTTTCAACTATTTTAAATTTAATTACTGGAACCTTAATGAGTTGAAGATTCTTTTGCAATACTAAGGCTGTCCTACATTAGATTAGTTCTCTATTAAATTATTCTGTTTGGATTTATTCAAAAGTATTGGGTTACTTTTATGAAAGAGACTCTTCAATTTCCAATTACCAAAAGTTAGACCGGATATTATACAATGCTATTCTGACAATCCATTCAAACACTATTTTGTTATAAAGCCAAGACATTATTTGTAAAAAATTGGGTTTATTTTTAAGTTAACAAAAAAGTGGGCTGTGTAGCACAATGATTCACTGCCTCGTCTACTTTTCAAGTGCCAAATTACTTCTTGGACGGCAGTGGCTAATAAACATAATCTCGTGTCTCATTTTTTTTTTTCTTGAAAAATCTCCGTATAGTAATAATAAGCAATTTGCCCCTTAATAAGGCAAAATTAATTAGAAATGTGATTAAAAAATTAATACTTTATACACTTAGAACAAAAAAAAAAAAAGACAAAAAAGCAAAATATTTTTTACATTTTCGCATCAATTCAATGAATTTTGTTGGTGTACATATATTTTTTAAAGTAGGTTCAATGTGGAAGGCATTGGCAACGGTGCCTGTTTTGTTTTTAGGTTTTTTTTAATGTTACTATTACTTGTAATTAATTATTTATTGTTATTTTGTAATATATTTTTAAATTTTTTTAAAAAAAAATATTTGTTTTTACGTTTATTTTGATTTAATAATATAACCTGATTATCCAAGGGCTACCCTGCAATTTCATAAACTATTATAAAACCCCATACAAAGCGAATAAATACACTATTCAATTATTTCCTAAGAAAATACAATAAACTTTGGATAATCAAGGTTCTATTGTAACTTTCAACAAAAATCAGAAATCCATCATCACCGAAATGATTTCTAATTTTGTGTTGGCACAAAGACCTGTGCAATGAACAGTTATTAAAAACGTTTTTAATGGTTGGTAATTTTCTGATCTGTTTATCAGAAATATGTAAACTATGATTAAATTTGTGGCGTAAAAAGACAAAATAAAGGTTTATGATAAAATTGGCCACATGACGGGAAAAGCGTGAAATTGCTTGCCAGATGGAGCAAAAACCCATGAAACTTTCGTTTCATTATGTTTTTACTTCCAAAAAAACCTATAAATTAGTAGGTATCAAAGTTTACCCACACATATGAGTGGAAAGTCTTTCTTTTTTCCCATCAATTATAATTAAGTATGACATATAGTTATATTTTTATAGAATAGAAAAATTCAAGGATATTATAGTCACTGTATAAAAAAATAGCCCTATTCCTTGAACAAACGAATGCCTACATTGAAGCAATAAAAATAAAACATGCTAATTTTTTTTTGGGCCAAATAATATACCATATACCTAACCTAGCTAGGTACAATCAATATTATTATTAACAGTTTAGATTGAATTATTAAGCTTTCGAAAATACGGGTTTTTAGTTTAAAAGTTTTCCGGCAATTTCTATCAGTAAATTTGTAATTAATTCGGCCATACTTACTAATTTTAGTCGTAAGATCATATTGTGTATTTGTAATTAATTATTTATATTCAGTAAGTTAAAACGGAATTAAAGTTATATATACTTTTGATTGGAGTTTTATTTTGTTTTACATGAAGCGGAAATGATTAGGAAATCAGATATAAACCAGACACTGGCGCCGACTACATGGGGGCATTGGGGCAGGTGCACCCATGAGAGCTCTTGTGGGGAACGCGGAAGTACAAACGTATATGATGATCTTTCCGTTCCGTTGGGTAATATCGGTATCATGTAACTTAAATTGAAAACTACCCAGGATGCCCCGTAGAGATTTTAGACCTCTGAGATATTTGGGGTGATCGCAGTGAGCGGCCGCTTAAGATGACTTCAGCCAGAGAGGATCGGCTCTTGGTGTAGAGGTCCTGCGCCTTTTCGAAGAGGAATTGGCGAGGACCCCGACCAGTGAAAGTTCTGCCGTAGTTTGAGAGCTTTTTACGAGCCGCGGCGCCTGAAAGACCCGCGTCGGAAGGGTAATTTTGTCTACCCCTTTTCCTAGATTTTACCACGAATCGCTCGGAAGTCCAGCTTTCCAAGGCGGAATCGAATTACTGGTCACTTCCGGTCAGGGTCGTTTGAAGAAGAGTTTCCAAATGACGTTTGTCGTTGGAATTGGGGTTGAGGTGGCCAGCTGCACCAGAACGTGATTGAAAATGCTGGTCATGCCTCCCGGTTCTTGGTTCGGAGTTGTCACTCCCTCCTGACCGATGTTAGGTTCGTCGGTGAGGTCGATGACCAGAAGGGGAGGTGGCATCAGTGAGGCAGGTGGGGGGTTGGTAGGTGGTGCGTAGGGTTGCCAGATTTCCAAAATTGGAAAGCGGGAGGTAGTGCATGGCAGGGAAAATTAATTTTTATGAGGTACCACGCCCTAATTTTGTCACATTCTATTTTATACTATACAGAGTGTATGAAAAGTAACGGAACTTATCTCCGAAACCAGTGGTGCCAGTCTTACCAATAATAACCTTTTGGACAATTGCTTTCAAGGTCAATTTTTCTGGAACCAGACCAAATATCGCCCTCCAGTTTTCACGGGCTGACAGATTGACAAACCAATTTTCCTTTCGCTCGAAAGCAATTGTCCAGCAGTTTAGTTATTACAAGAGGAAAAATTTTGTCGGCACTGGAGTGCCTTATTTTTTCATAGAATCCGGCTCCAAATCTCAAAATAATTTAGTGTATGGAGTTTGGGGGGTTCCAAAGGACCATTAAGACACAAAATATCAAAAAATTATTTTTTGAAATTTCATCGTTGGACTCGCTTTCAGAATAGGATAAATAGGTCTTCTAATAAATCAAGGGAAACTTGGGAAATTGTAAATGATCTGATAGTGTTTCGTTCACTTCAAGCTAGCAATCTGAATCCTGATGACCTAACTTCTTTTTACTGCAATATTCTCACTGAACTCTCAGCCAAAATTTCAACAGATCCCAGGAGCTATCTGAAACATGTAGCAGTGGCTGAATCTTTCTTTCTAGCTCCAACTAATGCAGAAGAGCTTATATGTATACTCGGTAATATCAGGAATAAGGGTGCGTCGGGTTGGAATGGGCTCTTATTGAAGGTTTTTTTAGCTTTACCCATGGTTGCTTTGCGGGTTCTTGCTTAGGCAATTACCATTTCTTTTGTGTAGGGGGTTTTTTCATCTTGCCTGAAAGGAGCAGTGATGAATCCATGAGTACAGGGCTTGACTTTCGTGAACACCTTTACAATAGTCTGAACTGTGCGGTGAGTCACCATTTCGGACGTCATAACTAAGTTGTCAGCCGTTTGCACTATAGCGCTCGGAGTTTAGAATTTAAATTTATGATGAAAAATATTAATAAATTTTAATTAACATAATAGGCAAAGAGGAACATGTAAACGAGATCTAAAAAGGAGTTGTTTTAGAATAGTAATTAATGGAGTAAAACCAGTATGAATAAAGCAAACACCCGTGGAATCATAACCTGTGGTGCAAACAGCCTAAGAATATTACACACTACTACTACAGGATAGACCATCCTCGTAAGGCCTGTATGGAACAAATTTGAAGCGCCCTCACCACACCAAATTACCAATTGTGACGTAGACAGCATGTCCTTTCTCGCCTTAACGTAAGCTGTTTGCACCACAGGTTTTACTACATTAATATCCATTGTGAAATAACTATTTTTTAGATCTCGTTTTCATCTTCCTGTTTGCCTATTATGTTAATCAAAATTAAATAGTATTTTTCGTCATAAATTTAAATTCTAAACTACGACCGTTAGTGCAAATAGCTGACGACTAGTTATGACGTCGAAATGGTGAAACACTGCCGTGATTACCAAAAACGAGGCCGAGAAACAATTCTTAGTAGTGTGTATTATCCTTGCAAACAGCCTACGTCAAGACAAGAAACGACATGATGCTACATCAAAACTGGTGATTTAAAGTGGTGGAGGGCAGGACTACAGATTTGTTCTACACAGGTTTTGAGGATAGGCTATCCTGTAGTAGTAGTGTGTGTTATCCTTGGGCTATGCCAGAGAGCTCCTAGGCTACACCAAGGATATACACACTTTTAGAGAAACGTTCATCCGCCTTGATTTTTGGAATCAAAGGCGTTTTCTCGCGTCCACTTTTTTGAAATTGGTTCAAAACTGTTTTGAAATAGTTCCATCATCACCAAAAGTAACTATGAGACAGCATCATATTAGCTCTTGTACTATTATATGAATTTTATTGTCAAATATTTGTCAAACTATAAAAAATGAATGACAGTAGAATTAGTCCAGGAGATTATTATGCATTATTTTTGTCTCAGATACTTTTGGCTTCATTGCTTTTGGCACTTTTGATGACGATAAATCCATGACGTCACGTTAAAATTGGTTCAAACCGTTTCGAAATACAATGCAATCCACGTTTTCAAACCATTTTCTCGCACCGAGAAATTATGACGTCATGGTGACATTACTTAAGTCAGTTTTGAAAAATGTTTTGAAACCTTTGAGACGCGAGAAAACGCCTTAAGTTCATATTAGGCAATTCAAACCACGTGACATTCAAGATGGCGTGGCGGCCACACATGGGCCAAAAAACACAAAAAAATATCTGGTTTCTGCCCGAGTTAATAGTTTAGGTACCTAGTCAACAAATATTTTATTAAATAATGAAAATCGAAGTTGTAAGCAAAACTGTATGCAAAATAATTTAAAATACGCATAAAAACATAACCAAAACAAACTTGCTTGGCCGCCACGCCACATTGAATTTTCCTTTTTGACAGATGGATTAAATTGCCTAATAATGTTGCACCGTGGTCGACGTCATCAACGGTGTCGTTAGTGGTTTGCGCTAGCGGTCGTAATTATTAAGAATATACATTTTTGATGAAAAATATTATACCTCATAGGAATATGGTCTCTTCAATGTTGATTTCGCACGGACAAAGTTAGAATAAAAACTATAATTAACTGATCCAGAACACAAAAAAAAAAATATGAATGATAATTATTTTCATTAAAGTTGTTGCAGATAGGCAGAGAAATCCAATAAAAAATAAATCACAAATTACAGAAACATATAAATTTTTCTGTTAGATAATTGTGAAAAACTATAACAGATTGAACCGTTAAAACCGAAATACTAGTTCGAACAGTGGTTCGAACCGGATCGAAATATTTCTCAGAACCGGAACCGTAACGAAACCGATATTTGTCATGATTACTCATGACGCTGTAACGCTGTGGACCGAAACCGCTATTTCATTTCGGTCCGGGTGTCTTCAGGTGCAACAAACACTGAAAGGAATATACGCGTAATGCCCCGGAGCTGTTCCGGAGCTCCTCCTAGGTCTAAAAGCAATAGCTGCATTCCTTTCACACCAAGGAGGAGCTCCGGAACAACTCCGGGGCGTTACGCGCTCATTCTTAGCCGCTTTCCAGTATGCACATTGGCGCGCTCTAGAGCACCTCGGGGGCGCCACGCACTAGATTTGTACCGTTCCAGTATCATGGCGTGAGACGCCTGTCTTAGTGTCAAATATGTCAAATTCTAAAAATAATTATCTGTTTGTTTGTGCAGTTTGTTTTTCTATTTATCAAAAATGAAAGAGAATCAAAACTATATATTTTAAAATGTTCAATCTTGAGGTATAACAAGAAATAAATAGATAAATAGCCACCCACGGTTGTGACAGCTGATAGGTTGACGCGTACGTACAGCTCGGGGGCGCAACGCCCCGAGTAGCTCCGGGCGTCACACTCCTATACTGGCTCTTTTCGAAAAGTGTTTGGAGCTGCTTTCCAGTGCCTTAATTGTTAGAGTATCATGCTCCTGGAGTGTGACGCTCTTGAACTGTGCGACATAAGCAACACTGGAACGCTTTCGTCTTAACTTCCGGAGTGGAACTTTTGGATTGAGCTAAATTTACTCGGCTTCTCATAGGCTGAGTTCGGCTTTGCACTCCACGGAGCGCAACGGTATGAGCATGGATATCGTGACGTCATAGCCAGTCATAAGCCCAACGCAAAAGAGAACAGAGCTAAAACGAACAAGATACTCGGTGTCGAGGGTGCTCAGAGTTTACAGAGTGTAAAGCCGAACTCAGCCAGAGAGAAACGCGAACGTATTTTTTTTACTCGAGTTAAGCCTAGTACTCATAACTGCGAAATTCGCATTTTTTTGACATTGCGTTGACAATTTGACGTTTAATGCGTGTATCAAACGTCAAATTGTCAACGCAATGTCAAAAAAATACGAATTTCGCAGTTATGAGTACTAGGCTTAAGGGAGGATTTTCATGCATCAGTTTTTCCGTCGAAATATGTCCAAAAAGTCTTCTATTTTGACATATTTATATACGATTTTGTCAGAATAGAATGTTTAACGGACATATTTCGTCGGAAAAACGGATGCATGAAAATCCTCTCTAAAGCCTAGTACTCATAACTGCGAAATTCGCATTTTTTTGACATTGCTTCAACAAATTGACGTTTGATACACGCATAAAACGTCAAATTGTCAACGCAATGTCAAAAAGATGCGAATTTCGCAGTTATGAGTACTAGGCTTAAAGCTTAGTACTCATAACTGCGAAATTCGCTTTTTTTGACATTGCTTCGAAAATTTGACGTTTGATACACGCATATAACGTCAAATTGTCAAACCAATGTCAAAAAAGTGCGAATTTCGCAGTTATGAGTACAAGCTTTTAGGGAGGATTTTCATGCATCCGTTTTTCCGTCGAAATATGTCCGTTTGACATTCTATTTTGACATATTTATATACGATTATGTCAGAATAGAATGTTAAACGGACATATTTCGACGGAAAAACGGATGCATGAAAATCCTCCCTTACTCAAATAAAAAGTCATAGCTCATACCCAAACAATCGAACTGGTTACGGAGTATACTAGACTGCACGGAGTGAGCAACCCAAACTCTGCACTGAGCCGAGTTGTTTTCATAGCTTCCAGTAGTTCGAGCGACTCCGAGTAACTCGCACTTTTTAAGCGCCTTAAGCCTTAGTACTCATAACAGCGAAATTCGCTCTTTTTTGACATTGCTTCGATAATTTGACGTTTTATACGTGAATCAAACGTTAAATTGTCGAAGTAATGTCAAAAAAAAAGCTAATTTCGCAATTATGAGTACTAGGCTTTAGGTGAATTTGACTCCCTGAGCACCTTTTCACTGGTTGGGGCTTGCGTTGTTGGGACTCCAAGGGAATATCAAACTAGCGCACATTGATTTAAAAAAGCGCTTCTTTTGAAAGTTACTCTAATCGACTCTGAACGAACAGCTCCGGAGCTTGGGACACCAGAAAGAACGCAGCTCATAATTTATAGTTGTATTCCTTTCAAGAGTTTGAAACACTCGAGCTACTCGCTCCGGTGTTCAGGAGCCCCCAATTTGCAGGGAACAGATGCGTGGTGCAACAAACACTTTTCGAAAGGAATAGGGGCGTGAAGCTCCGGAGCTGTTCTGGAGCTCCTCCTAGGTTTGAAAGGAATACAACTTATATATATGAGGTGTCAATCGAAATTGCTATTGCAAGATTAATAAACCAAAATGGCTACTATTTCCGCTCTCCTTTGATTTGATTATGGGTAATTTCCCAGATTTCATTTAAAATATAAACAAATTCAAATTTTAAATTTTCGGACTTTTCAATTTTTTCTTACACACTTCTAGAACTTTCAGAGATTCGTTGAGAACGTTTTACATGTATTTTTAAGAGAAAAACACATTTGCCACAAGTATGGAGGATCTCAATTTTCAAGTAAATCCAAATCAAGAAGAGGGAATTATTTATTTAACAATTGAGGAGGATAATTCAACTGAGAATGTATGCCAAAAGGAAGAAGATCCTCCAATAAGTTATTTGGTTCAAAATGAGGCAGTTCTTGATACTCCTACAGTGTTTAATTCCGGTATAAAAATTATTACTATAGGTGACGAACAGTATTTTTATATTCCCAATGCTGATGGTAAGAGAACAATTAATTCCAATTTTATGTTTAAATTATTTATAATTTGTTTAATAGAATACAATATCCAAGAGGCAACTAATGAATCTTGTTTAATTGAAACTGATAGAACCCTAGAAGAATATATACCGCTATCCATTAAACAAGAGGAACACTCGGGTAGGTATCTTTCTAATAAGAGCTGGTTTATTCATCTTCAGATAAACTTGCTGGTAACTATCAGTAATTTATCGTTCTATTGGTTGCTGGGCTGGGATTCTGTTCCGTCAGATTTCATACCTGACAGTTTATCAAAATGTGAATAAACCAGCCCTAAATCAGTAGCTAATTTCTTCAAAAATTGCAGATAATACAATAGTAAAGTATGAAATGATAATGGTCAATAATGACATAGACAAAGATACTGAAGTTGAAACTAAAACATTTAATTGCCTCTATAAGGGTTGTGAAAGAGTCTATTCAACCTCTCAGGGTTTGACGGCTCACATGAGACATCACATGAACAGCAAAACGTTTTTTTGTTGTTACGACGGTTGCAATAAAAAGTTTTCCACAAATTATTCATTGACTGCCCATTTTAGAACGCATACAGGAGAGAAACCTTACGTTTGTCAATATTGTGAAAAAGGATTTAAAACTTCTGGAGATCATATGAAACATATCAGGACACATACTGGTATTAAACAAGAAAAGTTTGTGTATTAGTTTTTCAAATAAATTTTTCAGGTGAAAAACCATTTTTGTGTCCTATTCCAAACTGCGGTAAATCATTTACAACTTCTAACATAAGAAAAGTTCATGTAAGATCTCACACTGGTGAACGTCCTTATGTCTGCGACTATCCTAATTGTTCCAAAGCGTTTGCTTCTTCTACAAATTTCAAAAATCACGCTCGAATACATTCTGGCGAGAAGCCGTTTGTTTGCTCAGTGTCTGTAAGTTACTATTTTTTCATTCAAAAAATCATTATAATATATTTTTTTTTCAATAGGGTTGTGAGAAAAAATTCACTGAATATTCGTCCCTGTACAAACACCAAGCAGTTCACGAAACAAATAAACCTTTCGAATGCGATTATTGCAAGCAAAAGTTCAAAACGGACTACAGTCGCAATCTCCATAGAAAAGTGAAACATGGAGTTTTGGTTCCACCTGAAGACATCACAGATTCAGGACCAATTGATGAGCCATCTACCTAGTTTTAATTATAACTTTATATAATACTCGGGTAGATTGGGAAATGAAATATTAGAGTTAAGAGCCTAAAACTCTGCAAAATTCATAATTTTGCTGTTATGAGTTCTTGATAAAAGTTTGCATAGGTATAGTTCATATACAATTTCTGTTCTTGCCTGTAAGATACTGTTGCCTTTGTCTGTGTATAAGTAATGATAAAAAAAAAATATTCGAAATAATGATATTTTTTTTTGGCATGAAATTATTGTTAGGATGAATTTCAGGCCACTTAGAAAACGCATCTACTAATACCAAATAATTTCCATTAAATAATGGTAGGTACTTTACTGGTTCCCATGGATGAACTTGAACCAATTTTGGATTGTTTTTGTTTTTAAGTTCCTCTTGAAGATCCACCTAGCATACTTGGTAGTTGGAAATTTGAAAAAGTTATGTCTTGTGCTTCAGTTATTAACATTATAAATTATAAAGAGCGCGTATTTTATTACGTACAGTACCTATTCCTATGGTCTAGTCTAGATAGTAATAAATGTTATAGTTAGTTATTCAAGTATTAATTAAGGACGGTAAGTGTCGTTTATCGCGCGATAGAGTTTAAAGATCGAATAGTGGCGGTCTTCAACGACTAATGGCCGGTTTACATTTTGTTAACTGCAACTGTTTAGTGTAAAATGTTAATGCTGCATAAGTAATAATAATTATCTGGTAAAGCTGGTAATGCAAAAGGTACCTTTATGATTCAATCTTTCTGTGGAATGTACAATCATTTAGCTCCTATTGCGTAGCCTATATTTCAAATTTGGGCTTAATCCCCCAAAAGCCGCAGGAGCTATAAAGAAAAAACTAAAAAATATATGTAAATTTCAACACCCTGTAGATCAGTGGTGGCTGGCAGGCTAATATTACGGAACCCTAGCAGTACCAGTACCTTATTTTTCTGTGGAAATATTATATATTTTGTCCTACAAAAGTATTGAGAGAAGCGAGCGAATACTCGATTTTGTGGTTTTGAAGACTTTTGTATACAAAAAAAATTTCCGCCTACGGCGGACATACCAGGTTTCCCCCCCCCAGAACCTCAGGCTGGATACGCCACTGGGTACTGTAGACTTTAATTCAAACTGAACTGAACTGCGAACTCAACTAACAACTAACTTCCACTTCTAAAACCGCCTGTTTTATATTTTTCGATTCCCCCCCAAAGTATTATTAATTATCCACGAAAATCGTCAATGGGCGGTCGTTTGACCATCAATAAGTCAATTCCATTGGCCGATCTAGATACATATTATCAAAAAATAATGATACAATCTATTTGAAATTTTTGTCATTTTTATTTGTCTAAAATCGAATAATTATGTCGCAATATCCTGATTTATAGGGGTCAACACATTTTTGGTTCAAGAATGTGAGGACAACACAAAGAAGATCGGCACACGTGAGCCATTAATCATCGATTTAATTTCTATGGCCTCGCTTTCAATTAAGGAATTTTAGACGATGGCACAGGCTTGGTGACGAAATACCTAATATAATTTTGAACGTATTTGGGGTCAACGGTAATTTGTTTCCTTCTCAATTTATTGATACTGATTTGAAATACCGGAAATTCAGTTTTTGATTATTTGATTACATTTAATTTTTACAGTAAAGACATTGCAATTATCGGGTCTATTTTCCGGATCATTACACTATTATTGCTACATAGTCTCCTAGGAATTTAGGCCGTGCTCTTATTTTGGTACCTACTTCTCCTGGTACTGTTTCTTCCTCTTCTTCTTTATCATCATAATTCTCATTTTGTAATCGCACATTTCTCAATATTCTATTGTTCAGACCGCTGTTGCGATTTACAGGTATCCTTTCTACATTTTTGGTACTGCTTCCATTGTTTAGGTATTGGTAACTCTCACATGTCTTATCTTCGTTGTTGAACAGTCATATTTTTTACTTTCATTAATTTTATTTGTTACGCCAATGATTGTACCTGTCATCAAACTAGAAATCTGTAAATTTCGTTCAAATCATTGTTTCACGTCGAGTCGTGACGATGGCGCGGATGTAAAGGCCAGAAGTGGGAGAATCAGAGCGGGTCGACTTTTCTCAATGAAATGTAGGAATATTCTTTCAAAACTTATTTTGAAGCAACAGAAAACCTACCAATCAGTTGTTATCATATAATATTACCTCCGGTTAAAATCGATTAACCAAATATTCGATTTTTAAAACCTGTTAACCGATTACTCGAAAAACATAGTTAACCGGTTTTCGGTTTATCGGTACTTGGTGAACCGATTTGGTTAACCGGTTTGTTTTTGGTTAACTGTGTTCTTGGCTCGAACCGAAAACCGGTTAACCGCGCTTTTGACGAACCAAGAACCGGTTATTCGACTACCTAATCTACTTTCGGATAACCGAACTCTTGGACTAGGAGTTTATTTTTCTTGAATCTAGTAAAATAAATAATTATTTATGGTGCGTCCTCTGACTCCTCTGTCTCGTACTCTCCAATCCTGCATTAGGCTGGGGTTATCCAATTCCTTAATTCCTAATTTTCCTTCTTAATGCTTAATCTTTAAAAACCCCAATGTTAAATAAATTGAACTTTTTAAGAATTAAGAATTAAGGACAAATATTAAGAATTAAGGAATTGGGTAACTCCGGCCTTAGTCTGCACTCTGCATTAGGTCTTAGTCTTAACTCTTAAGTCTTTAAGACATAAAAGTGTTTATTTTAATCATGTACTTTCAATTCCCGACATCAGTCAGTTCGAACAACCGAAACTTGTTTTACCGAATAACAGTATTTTGGTTTAAGCCAAATCCCTGTTAAGCGACAACCACCGATTAACCGAATATCCGATTTTCGGTTAGGGTAAAAACCGCGGTTAACCAAAAACTGGTTAACCGAAAAGTCGGTTTCAGTTGCCAACCCTAGATTCCCCCCTCATATGAATGTTATTGGCTTTAAGTTATATTAAATTTGACATCTTGACCTTTGTACCCGTCTGTATCTATTTGGATAACCAACCATTTAACATTCCATAAACTGACTACTGACTACATATTAAATTTAAACCGGTGCTGATTTCTTTGGTATGTGAAGATACGCCACATATCCAAAAACCTTTAATTGTTTTAGTCTTGGTTTTGGTTGGTTGGACTCCTTTAGATTTTCTCGATAATGGTTTTATTCATTTTTTCCGCTACACCATTCTGTTGTGGAGTATAGATAATGGTGTACCTACTCCCACTGAATACCATATATTTTTGGAAGAAATCTCGAATTTCATACGAGACATATTCTCCATCATTATCGAATGGAAAACGAGAAATTTTTAAATTAAATTGAGCTGTGACCATTGTAACATATGCTTTGACGTTGCAAAATACTTCAGCCTTACCAACCAGCGTGTAGCATGCAGTAAAATGTGTATAGTCACCATGTTGTTGAATTCATTGGTCGAAAAATATCATACTGTTTCTATTCTAGTGGGCTCTTTGATTTTACTTTTCCCGCTTGTGTGGTAACCTCGTTTGTTTCCCTTCAATACAAATATCGCAACTGTCAACATTGCATGCTTTTCCAAGCCCTAAACGATACTGATTTTTATCAAAATTTTGAAGATAGCTGTGTAGCTGAGGTGTTCAACATGTTTGTGCCAAAATTCCAGATAAATTTCCTTTCTTATTGCTTATAGTGATAAAGATATTGCTTCAGTAATATAGGGGCTTCATATTTTTTCGATGACTCGTCCATTAGTCGATTTTTGACAAAACTCATATAGCCAAACGATCAGGTGAAAGAGGGTTTCCAATGCTGTTACCACGTTGTTATATTGCGATGGCATTGTGAGTAGGTAATAAATGGCAGACGTTGTCCATCCCTTTCAACTTTCAACTTTGCCCTTATGTTTTTAAGCTCTCTAATGAAGTTTATCAAATTCCAGAAAATGGGCTTCTAAACTCTGTTCTGAAGGTTAAAAAACCATAGTAGCAATTTCTCTTTTATTCGAAACTGACTAGCAATTCCTACCCTGTCGGAAGTTTCTCGTAATATCCTCCATACGTCATACGTGCTCTTATGATCCCATATTCTAGGCGACTATCTGTTATTCTCTGAATTATTAAAGTCTTATATTTTCTGTCTAGCTTCCTTTTTAGCTTGACGAGGTTTCGTCTCCTTGATACATAATTAGATTGATTCTTGGCTATACCCAAGAATCAACTTCCTTTTCAGTTTTTTCTTCTTCGGACTCACCCTATACAAACTTGATTTTTTCAGGATATTTTTTCTCGATAAAACTTAGAAAATCTTTCTCATCTAATAGAACTTCCAACCTATATTTCCAATAATTGATAGTTATTTCCATCGAAGAGTGGAATTTTTTATTTCTAATTCTCATTATCCATTCTCTGAAGATTTATGCTGAATGTTCCAAGATCTTCAATATAGCCTTCGCGTGACTGTGGTCGTTAATCTAATATAATTACATATTACATACTGGCAGAGTGGAGACAGTGGAATAGAGATTCGAGTGAATTATTGTACACTGACTGAGACTAGTGAATAGTGAACCAAACTTCATGATGGAGGTTTAAATTCTGATGTGAAGGAAAAGATTGTAAATGATCAATGAATTAATGTTGGTCAGAGATAGAGATATACAGATCCAAAAATTGAAATAAATCATATGAAACGTTTGGTTTTAAGGAGATTGCAATGGGCTTTCTATTTTATATCCTCTAATTATAATCCAGTTAAATCTTTTGTTAATACAAAATAACCAAAATTATAGATAAGCAATTATTTCCAAAAATTTTATTATTTGTAAACTTTTTTCTCTTCTTCATCCGACAACTTTGTCAGGTACATATAATTGTCTTTACTCTGCTTCACAAATGATTCGTACAGATGTTGATCAAACAGGTACTCTCCCACATCGGTGTTGACCATTTTCGATCTGGTAAACAGCCTTCCCAAAAGTTGAATCGATTTATTCTAAAAAAAATTATACGAGTTTTCATTAAAGCAAAAATAATTTCAATTTTCTTCTCACTTGCTCTTCTAGGAAATCACTAGAAATAAAATCGTTTAATTGATGATCTTTATGTTTTTCAGCAAGCTCAACTACATCCTCCATTTTCTCTTTCACGCAGCATTCCATTGCAACAGCCACGCCGAAAGATTTCATGATATCCTTCCAATCTTCATTATCTGGAGGTTTCAGGCTTGGTACTTTAACATGCCCGCCTCTCATTAAAACATAATTGAGAAATATCAAAGCATGTTCGTGTTCCTCTCTACAAATGAAAATATAACAAAAGCAAATTTACGATTGAAACTTACCGATGCATATTCATAAAAAACCCTTGACATCCTGGTAAAGCCACTTCGCTTCTTCCATAGTAAGCGGCCATTGATAAATATGCGAAAGCTGCAGTAAACTCCACTTCGATTTGATCATTTAGGGCTGATTCTACTTCCTTGTGGAATTTGTGCCTGCCAGGGAATTCTTTTTTGCCTCTAGCAGTACATTTATTATCGTCCGATCCAGACTTTTGCTTCACCAAATTCTCATAAGTGCTTACGTTGTACATTACTTTAGAATCATTGTAGAAATTAGACAAATTTCCTCTGTATAAAATGAAACTGGAGTTTTTGGGTTTGGAACTTAAGTTTCTTTGGATGTCTTTGTGGATTTTGGTGTGTAATTTAGAATGGGGTTCGAAAAAGGTGAATAGTAATTTAAAGATTCGCGTTTGCGTATTCAGCAATGCCATAATTTTGGATTAAAAAAAAAAATAATAATAATTTGACACATAAATGTACCTACTACACCTTGTACAATTTTTTTGATTGACATTTTAATGCTACCTATGAGTGAATCAACATTGAAGGTAGGTTTGATTTGGATTTTCCTTTTATGATTTTCCTCATGAACTGTCTCTTGAAGAAGATGTCTCTGCGGGAGACCCCAGGGGAGGAGAATGCGCCTTAACAACTGGAGGTGACACAAAGGGCCCTAAGGCGAGGCCTAGTGTCAGTGAGGTAACTCACCCTCCTTTGCAACTATCCAGATCCAGATCCAGATGTCGAATCCTGTCATTTATTTTAATAAAAACTGAATTCTACACCCGTGAATGTCGACCCATTGCACATACATTTTCTTCTTCAACATTATAATGGTGCATACCTACTTAGTTGAATAAATTTTGTTTTTCAAATGCAAAAACAAAAAAATGTATTTCTAAATTTATCTCTTAACTGTTAATTATTATTGCTGGTGCTGATTATTCCCTTATAAATTAACGATTTAATTGTCTGTATATATTTTCAAAAATGATAGTGATTTCCGTTAATTTTGCACACTGCTGTTTATCGCCCCATATTTGTAACAAACAATTATTCGGGTGCAATATTGCACACAGAACCAAATAAAGTGTTTTCCGTTCGATGAAATTTAATTTAAAAATATAACTGTGATAAACAATCCATTAAAATACCACTCTTTAAACTAATTAACAACACCCAGACTATATAAATTACGCCACTGCGTGTATAAAGTCCTGAGTAGTTCAGTGTCGCTCGTGGAAATTTACATTGCGCATTGTCGATAGATATCGGGAAAATAATTTTCCAGCTGCTAGTACAGCGTTTGTTTCGTACACATTTAAAATATTTTCCGCCTGCGAAATCATGGCACATTCTCAAGTAAGACAAAATTTCCACAAGGATTGTGAGGATGCCATCAACAAGCAAATCAATATGGAATTATACGCGAGTTATGTGTATTTTTCTATGGTAAGTGGCCAAAAGAAGCCCCCTAATTAGTGATTTTCTTGTTGAATTAAGCTAAAAATAAATACTTATTGTTTATTTGCAGCTTAAATTATAACTACATACTGATGTGCTTTGTTTTTTTTTATCACTAACAAACAAAATAATTATAGGACAGTTCTATTATTTCAATTGGCTTAATTCCATTGTGATGTAATATTTAATGATTTTTTATTTTTTCGGGCATCTGCGGCTGAATTTGGAAAAATCCATTCATTAATTTGATGTCCTAAATTTATCACTTATCAGGATTGGTTTCATGAGAAACAATTAATAGTTGCCTGGAAAATTTTAAGAAAAAAAATATGCCGGTGTTTTGGCCATGTACGAGGTGTTCTTCAAAGGTTTTGTGGTCCTTGGAAAATATGTGGTCGAAACTGGGGCATACTTTTTTGGAAAAGTGTCCATAAAGAACGTTTTGAAGTTACATGTTGAAACTCTAAAAAACCTAGTAAATTATAGGGATATAGTCGGAAAGTCAAAATTGCTCCCTCATTTTCAAGGGACAGACTACTTTTCCTCACTAGGGAGGACAAATACCTACTTTTTTATCCCTGTACATTATTATGTATTTTTTTTTTTAAGTCGATACCTATTATGAGAGGTAAAGTAGGTAAATATTATTATTTGCGTATAAATTAAACAAGAAATTATAATGTAATTTATGTAAAGGTCGTAGAATGTGGGTGTAAATAGGTGCCTTTGGATCAGACGATGCTTTCCTGCGTCCTTGTAATGAAATTAGCTTCTATCTGCGACACTTTCCGAAAGTAATATTTTCCTCTCTAGATAGAAAACGTAATTTGATCAATATGGGTTTACTATTGGATCCGTAGGCATCAGTTAATGCTCTTGCAAAATTAATAATACTTGACAATCTTGATAATAGGTACCCACCTACTAGCAGAGTAGAGACAGTGGAATAGGTATTTCAGAGTGTAGACTTACTTTTATCCAGTTCAAGAAACATGACATAGCAGGTACCTACATCTAAGAAAAATTACATAATATTTAACATAACATTTGTTGACAATCAATATTGTCACAATGTAAAATGGCACATCTGTGAATGGGACAATACCTCCTATATTGTAAGGTCATTCTTCAACCCCCCTCCTCAACTTAAGTATCTTCTTGACCCCCAGCTACTGTCTTTCAAAATCTTGTCCTGCTAAACTTTTCATTAAAACATCTGCACATGCACATTGATCATGAGTATTATGTACCTACTCAACTTTTAACATATTTTTGTTGTACAGATTACATATAAAATTGTATTTGACATAAACAATGTTCAGGTCTCTTGTGTTTCCACTTTCCAAGAAGATGCTTGATTGTCTTTATATATTGTTAATGGGAAAATATTATGTATTTTTAGTTCTTCAAGTAAATTTCCAAGCCTGAGCAGCTCTGCCGATGCAGTAGCAAGTGAAACAAATTTTGTATAACTGTGGATTGCTTCTTGGTAACCCAGCACACAGTATAGAATCATTAAACCTTCCCCAATTTGCATCTGCGTAACCAAAAGCAGGCTGACTCATATAAAATTCCCTCTTTATGAATAAAAGACCACTGTCTAAAGTGTATACTTAACATATCTCAATATTGACACTCAAATTCCAACGGCGTTTTTATTGGGTGACATTTTTCCATTTCAAAACGCTATAACAGATTTTTTCTATTTTGGTGTCATATCGAAGTCTTTTCGACACTAAAAGTAGTTTCGAAAAGAAGCTCTTTGTGACACTCCTTTTTTACTTATCGGAGGTTGGTGACACTGACTGACTGATGGCCATCAAACTGTCATTCGCTATTTTATAATAGAAGATTTCTATATTTGGCATGTAGTGTTACCAACCTAAACTATGAAATCAGGAAATATGAGAATAAAATTTCCAAGAAAAATTGGTTTTTTTTACTAAACAATACCAAAATAGAAAAAATAGTATAAAATATTCGTTTCATAAGACATTTTATCGCACTCGCCCTTTAGAAAACTCGCCTCCGGCTCGTTTTCTAATATAGGGCTCGTGCGATAAAATGACGTCTTATGAAACTTGTATTTTAATGTACTATTTAAGACATGGTTTTTGACTCAAAAATATACCTTCAAGAAAACTTTCAAGTTTTTCCATATCTTTCATCTGAAATTCTGTACCATATAAGTACATTTTACATTCTTCTAATTTTTAAATATCCTTACTTGTCAAGAGACACTTTTCATTTGCACACCGTATCATACCTACCAAACTTCTTCAAAAATGAGTCCATTTGGAAGTTCCAAGCTCTTGAAACCTGGTTTGAGCTCATATAAAGCGACTTTTCCAACTTGTAGATTTTACACTTTTTATTTCCAAAACCATCTGGTAACTTAATGTACACTTCCTCATTCAAAAATCCATGTGAAAATGTGTTTTTCATTATTTGGTGAGCTATTAAATTTTCTTGATTTACTATTGACAACAGGTTTGTCCGTTCCAAATATGCAATAAGTAAACATGAAAAGAGAGCTTCAACCTTCACAATAATATGATCTGTATTTACAATAAATTATGCATTTAAAATTATATTCACGTTACAAACTCTGCTTAACATAAATTAGCTATTTGGTTTATAAATTGCAAATTATGCACCTTATATGAGAGAGACCAACAAGAGAAGGTCAAAGTCAAGCTTACTAAGTTATTCTCGGCTTTAAAGGAGCATAGTAAAGTCCGTCGAAAGGAATGTAAGCTGATGGCACCGCCAATGGTCACCTGACGTCACACCTGTTTTTGCCATATACTTCACTCCCTCGCGCCTCATACGGAAAATGTCAGATTAAAAACGAAAAAGAAACATTAAAATCATGCAAATAGAAAAAATGATAATGAAAAATCAAATATTTGCATAAAATTGTTTATAGAAATTACATTCTGCAAACAGAAAAATTCCACTAAAATACATTTTTATTGTCTCTACCTAGGCTTACCACTTCCACAGAGACGACATAGCCCTGATGGGTCACCACAAGTTTTTCAAAAAGTGTTCCAGCGAAGAACGCGAACACGCCCAACTGCTAATGGAGTACATTAACAAACGAGGAGGCAGAATTGTACTTACCACAATCGAGTCTCCGGAAAAACAGGAATGGGCCACTGCCCAAGAGGCTATGCACGACGCTTTGGAACTGGAGAAGAGAGTGAACGAAGTAAGTTATTTGTTGTTCTATCAATGACCATGGTTTTGAGAAGCTGGGTGAATTTCATCATAATTTAGTAGTTTAAGAAGTGATTCTACAATAAAGGAGAAGTTTGATTTGGTTGAAATTTTCAAGGATTGTAGTCCTCTACTGGAATAAGAATCGCTGAAAATTTCAGCTTTCTGTCTATAATACAAAAAAAGTTATGATCTTTCAAAGTTTTTCAAAATCTAAATCATAAGGAAGCTACCTTTCTTACTAAAACGATGAAATTTCAAATTTTTTTTTGTTGAGATTTTGTGTCTTATGATCACTGGGGATTCCCCGAACTCCATACACCAAGTTATTCCCAGATTTGAAGCCGAAATCTATGAAAAAAGGCACTCAGAAAAATTGAAAAATTGATAAATTACCCCAAATTGCTTAACACGATTTTATTTCAGGAACTATAAGTCCAAATGAGTTGAAATTTTCAGGGATTGTAGTCCTCTACTGGAATAAAAATCGCTGAAAATTTCAGCTTTCTATCTACCTTCTTACTAAAATGATGAAATTTCAATTATGGTTCCCTTTCTACTCAGAGAATTTGTATTTGACAAAGCAGAGTGGCCAATAATGAGCAGGTTTTAACTCTTCTGATCCATCTGTTGTTTCTTTTAGGGCTTTTATTAGTCTTGTGCTATGCTGGTTTAGTGCTACCTATTCTACTCTTTTCATTTTTTTCAAGGGCCCAATATTCCCTCTCAAATCTTCCGTCTTTCATTATCCCTATAACTTCTCTAGGAAGTTCTTCATTTGGCCTTCTTGACTTTGATGATCTGGTTACTGAGAGTTCCGGATGCGCTCCAAGAACAGCCAGTTCCAACTGCTGGTCAACCTTTAGCTTGAAGCTGTCTCACCTGGTGCTGCTCTTAAGTTAATTTTCCTCTTGCTTCGATTATCAATTACTGTATCCAATTTTTAGAAATCTAATGCTTGGGTGCTTAATTTGCTCCAGCTTCTATATCTATAATAAACAGTTATTTTAAAAATTACATTTACATATTTTTTTTTATTTTTAGAGCCTGTTGAATCTTCACAGTGTCGCTTCAGGTCACATGGACGTAAATCTGTGCGATTTCCTGGAAACTCACTTTCTTCAAGAGCAAGTCGACAGTATCAAGGAACTTGCCGATAACGTCACCAATCTCAAGAGGGTCGGAGAAGGCTTGGGGGTGTTTATGTTCGATCAAAAATTACATGACTAGAAATTTAAGACAATATAATAATCTCGTGCTAGTGTATGCCTTATAAATATATACCTATACCTATCTGTTTCAATTTTTTGAATTATCCAAATAAAACGAAATTTTGACCGTTGAATAAGAGGGTGCTACTTATTTTATGCTAAATATTGTAGTTTTAGGACGTTTTGTGATATACTCGAGGTAAATTGATAAGCACGCATATTTTTGTCAATAATAGTAGGAGTTTGTTCTTTTGTCAATTTAAAAATACATATATGAATAATAATAACCATTTACTTATTGTGATTATTTGGTCAATAAATGTTTAATTATTAAGTACCCAGTGTATTTTTTTTGAAAGTTGCAATGAGAAAAATCCTGAATTTTCTTTTCAATACATAACAACTCTCTATCTCTCCTACAATAGGATAGGAGGGAAAGTTCTAGAGAAAGCTCTTTTGATTAATAGATAAAGAAAATATAACAAGACATTGATTAAAAAATTAAAAATAGGAAAGTATCATCTTTTACTGTAGGTTTTCCCTTCAGAGACCTGAAGGAGAAGGGAAGGCTTTATAGAATCTGGAATTTGATTATTAAGAGTTTTTGCTCTCTAGAAGCATCTTTCTTCTCCAGTGGCGGCTCGTCAGAGGAGGCAGGGGAGGCTAAACCTCCCCCAAAAAATTGAAAATTCAATCTCAATTTTGTATTCCTGATTTCTAATTAAAATAATAATTAACGAATTACACTTTCCAATTTCCAATATTTCAATGTAATTTAGAAAAATCTGACAACATTATTTCAATCAATCCCACGCCTCCACGACAAATATCTGTGAATTTGGGATACTCAGTAATACCGGCCCGAAGGGCCGGAGTAATACGAGCCCGAAGGGCTAGAGTTATACGCGAGCCCGAAGGGCCGGAGTTATACGCGAGCCCGAAGGGCCGGAGTTATACGCGAGCCCGAAGGGCCGGAGTTATACGCGAGCCCGAAGGGCCGGAGTTATACGCGAGCCCGAAGGGCCGGAGTTATACGCGAGCCCGAAGGGCCGGAGTTATACGCGAGCCCGAAGGGCTAGAGTTATTTCAATCACGGGGCCTAGTTTATAATTCTATTGGTCATCGGATAATTTAGAGCTAATTAAAAACCGAGAGTATTTAAAATACGATTTTTAGCGTCCGATCAAAGAGTCGGGAATATTCAAAAACTTTAGTTTTATCAAATTGGCTTTGAAATGTTGGTTTTCTTAAGATTTTTACTTTTTTCAGAAAACGGTGATTTTTGCCAAACTTATACTACTTTATCATTGTCCTTGTCTTACTGACTATAATCAATAAGGAAACCTTGTAATGTCATTTTCATTGAAATTAAACTAAAAACAAGTTTCCTATGATTTATTTAGGGAATTTCAATTATTATAATCATTAATAATTAATTATTAAATTGAATTTTAAACAAAAAACCCTTTTAAGATGTCATTTTTGTTTTCCGAAATGAGATGTAGCAACGTTGCTTTTAGTTGGCCATTTTGAAGTGACGCCTTGTAATTTTTTGCCAGTTTTTCCTCGAATTTTTCACTTTTCCGGGGCTTTTTAATGGAGAAAGGCAATTTAACATACGACGCTTTGAGTTTTCTTTAATTTTCTAGCAAAAATGTCCAGTTTTAAAATGACATAAATAACAAAATCCCATTTAAAATGTTTTTTTTGGAAGTTTTGATGTGGCAACACCGTTTGTACCAACTTCAAATAGGTTTTGTAATAAATGTCATTTGCCAGTTTTGACAGTCGGCGATTTTTAATTGACGTGTTTACATTTCTATCCAGTTTTTCCTCGAATTTTCCGCTTTTCCAAGCCGTTTTCGTCAAGAAAACCGATTTGAAATACGAGGCTTTGAATTTCCTACATTTTGTGCTAAAAATTCACAGTTTTCCGATGGAGTAATAAATGACAAAAACTCAAATTTCATTAAGTAGGCTTTGGAATGTCATTTTTAGAAGTATTTCTTTGAATTTGTCCTCCTTTCCAGGGCTTTTCTGGTCGGAAAAACCGATTTAAAGTACGAGGCTTTGAGTTTTCTTCATTTTATACCAAAAATTTCCAGTGTTTCAACGGGGTAAGTGAGAAAAACTTTAGTTTTATCAAGTAGGTTTTGGAGGGTCATTCTCGTTGGTTTTTTTTTTGGAATTCTTATTTAAGGTTTTTGGGGTCCAGGGATCGTTTTCAATCACTTTTTTTTCTCGAAATTCGCAGAAAAAAAAAAAACTTTTTTGACGTTGACAGCTGTCAATTTTTTTTGACACAAATCGATAGTTAGCGTCGCGAAACTGCCTTGTACCGGGGTTTGATTTTCGTAGCTTTTATAGTAGAGCGGGGAAAAAGTCGAACATGTGTCAAATTTGACAGGTGACATTTGTCGATATTGCCAAAGTGTCGTGCGACAAAAGTTTTATCCGAACGACCCCTTCATTGTTAACTGATTTTCCATACTCCGGCCCTTCGGGCCGTAATCTTTGAAACAAAAAAACGTCATTTTGTATCGATTGTCAAAAAAAACCAAGGTTAGAAATTTCAATTTTTTGACGTTTGTTGTATCATGAGCAGTGTTGCCATATGTTTCTTTTTCAAATCTCGAGCTCGAAAGGGCGAGATTATAGATTATTTTAAAGCCAATCAAGAGCCGGAAATAAACAAAATTCGAATCCCCAAACCAATGAGGAGCCCGGAAAATTCAAAAATTCGAATTCCAAACCCGACGAGAAATTGAATTTTTTGTACCAACTGTTGCTACATGTTGTTACATAAATCTCACCCTAAAACCCACTAAAAAACGACCTTTGTTTTTTGGAAAAAACAAAAGATTTTTTTGAGATTGACAGCTGTCAAAATTTTAATGGGCATATAGATTTAGCCTCGGCGAATACGTAGGAAGTACCAATTTTTTTTTTCAACATATGTCAAAAAAGACGTTCGGCGTTGCCAGGCGGTTGGTTTTTGACGTATATCGATGAAACTTCTTATTTTAGGGTTTTCGGAGCCTGAGGATCGTTTTCTGACATTTGTTTTTTGAAAAATAGAAAAGGTAAAAATTTTTGACATTGACAGTTGTCAAAATTAAAAAAAAAAAACAACATGGGCATATAGATTTAGCCTTGACGAATACATAACAAGTAGCCAAACAGGGCCAATTTTTTGACGTTTGTTGTATTATAAGCAGCGTTGCCATATGTTTTTTTTCGAATCTCGATTCTGGAAGGCTGAAGTCGTGGCTGAAGTTATCTCAATTATGAGCTCAAAGGGCTGAGGTTATACGAGTCCGAAGGGCCGGAATCATGCGAACCCGAAGGGCCGGAGCTATACGAGCCCGACAGGCCGGAGTTATTTTAATCATGAGCCCGAAGGGCCGGAATTATACGAACCCGTTCATTGTCAACTGATTTTAATACTTTGGCTCTTCGGATCGTAGATGGTAGTCGGGTAAACGTGCGCAGCGGCTAATGGTGCGCACCATAATACCATACGAAAACGCCTATTATTTGATCAAATTCGTACACGTGGCGCCGTCTCATAGATGTCTTTGAAAGTAACGCTGATTTTCGTGCGATTTGCTGCTTAAACATATCGGTGATCGTGTTTGGCGGTTTATCAGACTGTTTATATTAAAATTTAAGCGGGTGAAAACAAGCGATAACTTTGAAAATAAGAACATTCCTGTTTCGGAAATTTCACCAAAATAATCAGTGGGGTTCCTACTATTACTGGAGAAATTTTTCCAAGGTAAATAACGTACAATTTTATTTTTGTGAATTTTTATTACAATTAGGTCCATGTTGGCTAATCGTGCGCATCGCGCACAATTATCCGTCCTCTGCGAGTCAAAAAAAAAAAAGATAGGCAAGCAAATTTGGAAAAAAAATTAGAACAAAAACCGTCAAAAAACGGTAAAGCGAGTGCAAAACATCCCGCTAAAAATAATAAGACCGTTAAAAGGAAGGTTTTTGAGGAAAGTGAATCTGAAGAAGAAGTCTCAGACAGCCAGTTATGTGATGATGATGAACTTCATGACACGGAGGTCAATCTCGGAGACAGATGTTTGGTTTGCGACGACTGGAGCAAGAAAGACGAATACTGGTTTCAGTGTGTGATCTGCGGCAAATGGGCCCATGAGCTTTGCAGTGGGGTAGACTCCCCCGAATATTACATCTGCGACTTTTGCGACCACTAGTTATGGTTTTTATGCAATAATTTAGTTTAATATTATGTTTGCAATAAACGTATTATGTACTTTGTTTCACTTGTTTTTAATCCACCCTTTATATCCGATAGTTTTCAATAGTTTTCTGTTGCGCACAATTGCCCTGACTAGTGCTCACCATTAACCGCATAGGGTGGATAATCGTGCGCAGTGTCAGTTTTTATCTAATTTTGTCCCTAGGCTCAGAATATTTTCTTTGTGATCTTTGGTTGATTTGGGCTGTCAGCTATAACACAGAAGAATATCTATGCCAAATTTCAGAGCTCCATGAGCCATATTTTAGAAAATATCTTTCTTTTGCCTTAGGTGCGCACAATTCACCGACTCTCCCCTAATCTTTGAAACGAAAAGACGCCATTCCTTGCGTTCGGTATTTTGCTCAAAGAGCAGAGCGTGCTGAGCGGAGCCGTAATCACGTGACCAGCGAGCGAACAGAGCAGTTGAACGCTATATAAAAGTGCCAGAAAATTTAATAAACGAACGCGAATGAGGCTGCACCGAGTACCCTTTTTAAATAAACGAACGGTAAAGTCAAGCTCGGAGAACTCAGACCAAAATAACGAACGCACGGATTGTATATCGACTGTCAAAAAAAACCAAGGCCTACTTTGATATTTCAATTTTTTGACGTTTGTTGTATCATGAGCAGCGTTGCCATATGTTTTTATCAAATCTCGATTTATAGGTTATTTTAAACCCAATCGACATTTCTGAAAAATATTTCCTTTAAAATTCCCAAATATCCTTTGGAATCCCCAAAAATCTATTAAAATCTCAGAATTCCATAATTTAGTAGAATTTCGGTAGAATAAATATGTTATTCTGAAAAAGGAATTAGATGTGAAATTTTTGCGGAGTTTCCATAGAATTCACATTAAATTTTAATTCCTCTCGAATTACTTGAAATTTCAGTGAAATTCCGATCAAATTACACGAAATCCTAAATTAATAACATAGAGGAATTTTAAACAATTACACTGAAATTCCCAACATGAAATTTCAGTTTTTACTGAATTTTAGTAATGCCGAGGAATTTCCAACTAAAAACATGGAATTTCAAAGATATTCCGAAAAATTACCATGTAATAACATGAAATTTCAATATATTTCGATGAATTTTTAAGAAATTACTTGAAACTTCATTAATATTCCCAGAAATTCCTGGCTATTAAAAGAGAATTTCAGTGAAATTCCGAAAAATTCTTATGAAAATAAATTAAATTTTGAAAATTCCTTGAAATCTCATTGGACTTTCGAGAAATTTTCGGTTATGAATGTGGATATTCTCATAAAATTTTAGTGAATTCCGAGAAATGTTTAAGAAATTACATGAAATGTCAATGAAATTTCAAAGAATTTTATGAAAATTTTGAGAAATTCCAGGATATTTCAGTGGTAAAATTTTGAGGAATTTTAGTAAAGTTAAAAAAAAAAAATGGAATTTTGAAATTGAAATCTTAGTGGAATTCCGAGGAATTTCATGAAATCCTATACTGTAATTAGCCTCCTCACTTGAAATAGTCACGAGCCGCCACTGTTCTTCTCAATGAAAGAATTTTTGAATTTCAGCTCTTTTCTTTCCTCCACATAAGTTCTCATACTTGAACGAAAAATTGTTTTGCAGAATGTTCAACTTAGGTAGGTACTGCTCCAGTATTTTCAACAAAAACGCTCTTTCTCAATTTCCTCCCGCTTACCTTTTGTCATGCCTAACCCAAAATAAGTCAGATTTAGGTAAATTGTCAAATTTATTGTCAGCGGAATTTTCAAATTACCAAAACTAAAATGTTTTTCATTCGATTTAGTCGTCTCCAAAAATTATCACCCCCGCGAATATTTCTACGAAAATTTTCACGCCCTGCGGATTGTCCTCACACAGAGTCTGGTGAAAAACGTCCCTACAACACACCGGATTGTAGCAAAGTCATTGTAGTCGGTGGAACTGGAGCTGTTGGTCTAGCTACAGCCACTCAACTATTGTGTTCGAAAGCCTCCCATATTGCTTTAATCGATACAGACACGTGTAAAGGTAGAGATGCCGTATACTCCTTAAATTGTGCATTTGGAAAAGGCAAAGCTGTTTTTATCAAGGCTGACGTCACGAATAAATGCGAAATACATGATGCCCTTAGAAGAGCGAGAAGTGAATTTAAAAAAATAGATGCTATTGTAAATGCTTTTGGGGTTTGGAACGGTAAAAAATGGGAAGAAGAAATTCAAGTGAATTTAGTTGGTACAATAAACGTCAATGAATACGCGAGCCAGATAATCAGCAATCCGAAAGGATTCGTTTTGAATATAATCGGACTTCCAGGAATAGAAATATTCAGTCCTTCGCCAACTATAGGAGCAACAAACTTGGCAGTAGTAGCTTACACACAAGCAAGGGGTCATGAAAGAAACGAATGCATTTCAGGAATACGAACTGTAGCACTATGCTGTGGAGTAACCGAATCGAATTTCAGCAAAGGTGTAGAATCGAAAACTTGCTGTCCTCAAACTGGCAACGATTTGAAAAAGTATTTGGAGGAAGAGGCTTGCTGGCAAAAACCGGAAGTTGTAGCAAAAGCTGTTGTCGAAGTACTGAAATTTGCTCCGAGTGGAACTGTTTGGGTAGTGGAAGGATCAAGATTGTTCTCTCTGAAGTGGCCAGACTCGAAAACTTTTAGAACACTTGAGAATCAATTTATATGACATTTTTTATGTATCTTTAAAATATACTATTTTTTCTAGTTGGTTTTGCGTTCGCCATCGTGTCAGAATCAAGTTAAGCAATTTTCTGAGTCTGAGTGCCTTTTTTTATAAAATCTGGCTCTCAAAAAGCCAGTGGGTTGATGTTCTTCCTTTTGTTTTACTTGGTGTCCGTACATTTCTTAAGGAGGACTCAAGCTGCATAGTTTTTGAACTCGTCTATGGGACAACTCTGAAACTTCCTGCAGAGTTTCTTGAGCAAACAAAAAATCTCCATGTTTGCTGGACTGTTCAAGTGTTTCATAAGGCAATTAAAGTTTCTTTCAACAAAAAAGAATTATGGAAAAGGAATATACCTACTTATGTTTCTAAAAACCTTTCATTTTCAACACGTTTTTGTTTGGAAATGATCATAAGCGCAACTCCAAATTTGAGGGGTGCTGCAGCACCATTTTTTATTTTTTCTGATAGGGTTTGATGGAAAGGAAATGAGACGCGTAAAAAAAAGTTAGTTTCACGAGGGTTTGTACTCAGTGACGCTTTAACCTTTCTCTGGCCCGTAGGTCAATTATTTGGTATGGCGAATTTTCCTTAATTTTGCCTAAATAAGTCAGTTTTCTTTGAATTTTACCTGGAGTGATTTTTCGGCTCCGGTTCAAATGAGCGACATTTCAAATAGCGACATCAGAAAAGCAACATATCAAAACAGCGACATATCAAAATAGCGATGTTCAAAACAGCGACATATCAAAACAGCGACATTCAAAACAGCGACATCTAAAAAAAACAGCGACATATCAAAAGAGCGACATTCAAAAGCGCGATACTTTAAAACAGCGACATATCAAAAGAGGGGGATTTAAAACGGCGACCTCTAAACAAAAGAGCGGGACTTACTCAAACTAACCCAAACTAACCCGTCCGCCTAGTGCGATCTAGTTCTCGTAGGTTAGCATTTTATTTGAAAAACAAAGTTAATTTAGTTATAGCGTAGCGTCTCTTGAGCACACTTTATTTTTCAAATAAAATGGTAACTTCCGAGTACTAGATCGCACTAGGCGGATTTTGAGTTAGTTTGAGCAAGTCTGCATTTTCTTGATCATTTTTGGTTTCAATTTGATGTCATAATGCAGACTTACTCAAACTAACCCCGGATAACCCCTACGTCTAGTGCGATCTAGTCCTCGTGAACATTTTATTTACAGAAAACAAAGTTAATTTACTTATAGCATTGCGTCTTCTGATCGCGCTTTGTTTTTTAAATAAAATGCTAACTTACGAGTACTAGATCGCACTAGGCGGACAGGTTAGTTTGAGTAAGTCTGCATTTTCATGATTAATATTTATTCGTGTGCTCAAGAGATGCTCGATATAACTAAATTAACTTTATTCTTCAAATAAAATGCTAACTTACAAGGACTAGATCGCATTAGGCGGACGGGTTAGTTTAAGTAAGTCTGCATTTTCTTGATTATTATTGATTTAAATGTGTGTTGCTCTTTTGTTTAGATGTTGCCGTTTCAAATGTGGCGCTTTTAATATGTCTCTTTTTTGATAGATTATATTAGATTGTGTTAGGGGGGTTTCGGTGATAGACCTCTCTGCACCTCTTTTGATAAGTCCTTGTTTTAATTTGTCGCTCTTTTTAAATGTCGCTGTTTTGATATGTCGCTGTTTTGAATTGTCGCTATTTTTAACTGTCGCTGTTTTGAATGTCGCTGTTTTGATATGTCGCTCTTTTGATATGTCGCTGTTTTGAATGTCGCTTAAATGAGACCGCCGTTTTGAATATCGCGGTTTTGAATATCGCCCTTTTGAACCGGAGCCGATTTTTCGCTGGAAAATTTCGAAATTTCACTGTATGATGAGCTCCTCACTTTTTTCTTTTTCCTGGAAAATATTCAAAATTTTCCCTTTGCCAGTTTTCCAAAAAAAAAATCAAATGTGAAAGCGTGAATTTTCCCTAATTTTGCTTAAATAACTCAATTTTCCAAAAAAAATTTCTGAAGTCATTTTTCACTAGAAAATTTTGAATTTTTTTTATATTGAATTCCTCACTTTCCTCTTTCTTCCGGAAAAATTCCACAATTTTTGCTTTGCCAGTTTTCCAGAAAAAAATTGAAATGTGAAAGGATGAATTTTGCTTAAAAAAGTCAATTTTCCAGAACTTTTCTCACGACTTTCCTTGGAGTGATTTTTCACTAGAAAATTTTGAAATTTTGCTATAATGAGCTCCTCATTTTCTTCTTTCTCCTGGCAAAATTTCACAAGTTTTGCTTTATTAGTTTTCCGGAAATAAATTGAAATATGAGAGGATGAGTTTTTCTTAATTTTACTTGAAAAAGTCATTTTTTCAGAATTTTTCCTGGAGCGATTTTCCATTGGAAAATTTTGAAATTTTCTTATAATGAGCTCTTGACTTGCCTCTTTTCCCTTTTTCGCCATTTTTCCAAAAAAAATTGAAATGTGAGAGGATGAATGTTTTTTAATTTTACTTGAAAAAGTCAATTTTCCAGAATTTTTCCTGGAGTGATTTCTCACTGGAAAATTTAAACATTTTCCTATAATGAGCTCCTCACTTTTTCCTGGAAAATTTTCAAAGTTTTTCCTCTGCCAGTTTTCAAGAAAAAAATTAAAATGTAAAAGGGTGAATTTTCCTTAATATTGCTTAAATAAGTCAATTTTCCAGAATGTTTTATGGAGTGATTTTTCATTGGAAAAATTCACAATTTTGCTATAATGAGCTCTTTACTTTTCTCTTTTTTCTGGAAAATTTTCACAATTTTCCTTTTGTCAGTTTTCCAGAAAAAAATTAAAATGTAAGAGGGTGAATTTTTCCTAAAAAAGTCAATTTCCCAGAATTTTTCCTGGAGTCATTTTCCACTGGAAAATTTTGAAATTTTCCTATAATGAGCTCCACATTTTTCTCTTTCTTCTGGAAAAATTTCACAATTTTGCCTTTGTCAGATTTCTAGGAAAAAATTTAAATATAAGAGGGTGAATTCTCCTTAATTTTGCTTAAAAAAGTTAGTTTTTCAAAATTTTTCCTGGAGTGATTTTTCACTGGAAAATTTTGAAATTTCCGTAAAATGAGCTCCTCATTTTCCTCTTATTCCTGGAAAGTTTTCAAAATTTTCCTTTAGCCAGTTTTCCAGAAAAAATTTAAATGTAAGAGGGTGAATTTTCCTTAATATTGCTTAAATAAGTCAATTTTCCAGAATTTTTTATGGAGTGATTTTTCATTGGAAAAATTCACAATTTTCCTATAATGAGCTCCTCATTTTCTTCTTTTTCCTGGAAAAATTTCACAAGTTTTGCTTTATTAGTTTTCCAGAAATAAATTGAAATGTGAGAGGATGAGTTTTTCTTAATTTTACTTGAAAAAGTCAATTTTTCAGAATTTTTCCTGGAGTGATTTTCCACTGGAAAATTTTGAAATTTTCCTATAATGAGTTCCTCATTTTTCTCTTTCTTCTGGAAAAATTTCACAATTTTGACTTTGTCAGATTTCTAGGAAAAAATTTAAATGTAAGAGGGTGAATTCTCCTTAATTTTGCTTAAAAAAGTTAGTTTTTCAAAATTTTTCCTGGAGTGATTTTTCACTGGAAAATTTTGAAATTTCCGTAAAATGAGCTCCTCATTTTCCTCTTATTCCTGGAAAGTTTTCAAAATTTTCCTTTAGCCAGTTTTCCAGAAAAAATTTAAATGTAAGAGGGTGAATTTTCCTTAATATTGCTTAAATAAGTCAATTTTCCAGAATTTTTTATGGAGTGATTTTTCATTGGAAAAATTCACAATTTTCCTATAATGAGCTTCTCATTTTCTTCTTTTTCCTGGAAAAATTTCACAAGTTTTGCTTTATTAGTTTTCCAGAAATAAATTGAAATATGAGAGGATGAATTTTGCTTAATTTTACTTGAAAAAGTCAATTTTTCAGAATTTTTCCTGGAGTGATTTTTCACTGGAAAATTTTAAAATTTTCCTTCAATGAACTTCTCACTTTTCTTTTTTTTTTGGGAAAATGTCACAATTTTTGATTTGCCAGTTTTCCAGAAAAAAATTGAAATGTGAAAGGATGAATAATTTTGCTTAAAAAGTCAATTTTCCAGAACTTTCTTCTTGACTTTCCTTGGAGTGATTTTTCACTAGAAAGTTTTGAAATTTTCCTATAATGAGCTCCTCATTTTCTTCTTTTTCCTGGAAAAATTTCACAAGTTTTGCTTTATTAGTTTTCCAGAAATAAATTGAAATATGAGAGGATGAATTTTGCTTAATTTTACTTGAAAAAGTCAATTTTTCAGAATTTTTCCTGGAGTGATTTTTCACTGGAAAATTTTAAAATTTTCCTTCAATGAACTTCTCACTTTTCTTTTTTTTTTGGGAAAATGTCACAATTTTTGATTTGCCAGTTTTCCAGAAAAAAATTGAAATGTGAAAGGATGAATAATTTTGCTTAAAAAGTCAATTTTCCAGAACTTTCTTCTTGACTTTCCTTGGAGTGATTTTTCACTAGAAAGTTTTGAAATTTTCCTATAATGAGCTCCTCATTTTCTTCTTTTTCCTGGAAAAATTTCACAAGTTTTGCTTTATTAGTTTTCCAGAAATAAATTGAAATATGAGAGGATGAATTTTGCTTAATTTTACTTGAAAGTCAAATTTTCAGAATTTTTCCTGGAGTGATTTTTCACTGGAAAATTTTAAAATTTTCCTTCAATGAACTTCTCACTTTTCTTTTTTTTTTGGGAAAATGTCACAATTTTTGATTTGCCAGTTTTCCAGAAAAAAATTGAAATGTGAAAGGATGAATAATTTTGCTTAAAAAGTCAATTTTCCAGAACTTTCTTCTTGACTTTCCTTGGAGTGATTTTTCACTAGAAAATTTTGAAATTTTCCTATAATGAGCTCCTCATTTTCTTCTTTTTCCTGGAAAAATTTCACAAGTTTTGCTTTATTAGTTTTCCAGAAATAAATTGAAATATGAGAGGATGAATTTTGCTTAATTTTACTTGAAAAAGTCAATTTTTCAGAATTTTCGCTGGAGTGATTTCTCACTGAAAAATTTCGAAATTTCCCTATAATGAGATCCTCACTCTCCTCTTTTTCTTGGAAAATTTGCCCTCTGTATGTTTTCCAGAAAAAAATTAAAATGTAAGAGGATGAATT